AAATAGTTTTGTCTAATTTTATATTCCCACCGGCTATGAATAGTCCAAACTTTTCCACATCCTCACCAATATTTAGTATGGGCTGTCTTTAATTTTAGCAATTCTGACAGGTGTGTGGTCATATCTCACTATAGTTTTGAATTGTATCCCAAATGACTACTGATGTTGAACATCTTTTCCTGAGCTCGTCTGTCATTTGTATACCTTATTTAATGGATTGTCTGGGAAAGTCTTTTGTCCACTTTTTAACTGGGTTGGTTGTTTTCTATTATTGAGTTTTGAGTGATCTTTATGTGTCTTCAGTATATGTTCTTTATATATTTTGGACACAAGTCCTTTTTTGAAGAAATTCAAAAAACTGATTATAACATTCAGATGAAAATGCAACACACCCAGGATAGTCAAACAACTTTGAAAAAGGACAACAAAGCTGGAGAGTCAATCAATACTACCTGATTTTAAGGCTTGTTATTAAAGCTACAGTGTAGTCATGGCATAAAAACAGACAGACCTAAAGAACAGAATTTAGAGGCCAGAAATAGATCCAGAAAATCAATTTTTTATAAAGGCTCAAGGGCAATCCAATAAAAAAAAAAGCATAGTCTTTGTAACAGAGGGTGCTGAAACAGCTGGATATCCGTATGCAGAAGTATTAACTTCAATCTGTATCTTGAACCACATTAAAAATAACCTCAAAATGGATCATAGACCTAAACATAAAACATAAAACCAGCACTGGCTACATAATTTGTGGGCCCAGGATAAAATGAAAATGCAGGCCCCCTTGTTCAAAGCTTACTGCGAATTTCAAGATGGTAACAGCACAGCACTTAGCCATGCATGGGGCCCGTCTAAGCGTGGGACCCTGTGTGACTACATAAGTTGCATGAAGCCAATCCTGCCTGAAAATTATAAAACTTACAGAAGAAAGCATAGGAGAAAATCTTTCTCACCTGGGAATATGCAGAGATTTCCTAGATAGATGCAATACCAGCAGCACAAGCCCTAAAAGAACGAACGAATACAATGAACATGAAAATTAAGAATTTACGCTCTCAAACGATTGTCAAATGAAAGGAGATATTTGCCAAAAATAATAAGAAATTTTAACATTGTTTGCCCACTTGTTATGTGCCAGATACTGTTCTAAGAACTTTACCCAAGTTCTTATATACACATATATGTAAAGTGGATACAATTTTTATCCTTATTTCATATATGAAAGGCACAGGAATTGAAAAATCAAGCTTAATGATATAAAACCTGTAAACCAGAATGCCAAACTTGGAGCCCAGGCTGACCTTTGAGCCCATGTCCTTTATATTTCCTAAGGTGAAAGCAAATACCTTTCTTCTCATTTTTTGTTCTTAACTGTCAGAGGAAGGCTTTTTAAAAAACCCACCTCTTATTTCAACAGACTACCTTTGAAAACTCCTTCTAGTAGGCCTTTCTGAGGGCTACATCTGCCCAGCTCTGTTCAATATATAACATTCCCTTCCTTGACGCCTTTTCCAAGACCAGGGAGACCAAGAGGTTATCAGTGTTTCCAGGACTGGTGTCAGCAACCCAAGGGTGGCACAAGTACGTTTGCAATGCTTAGTACCAGATAAAGCAGCCTTGAGCTCGAACTGCCACACTGCCCAATTTACTCTTTTGGAGCAAGGGACATTCCTGCAGCAGAGCGCGTGCTAGTTCGTTGTGCCCAGAAAGAATGCATGTGCCTCTCTCAGGGACCGCTTACATCTCAAGAGGCACCAAGTCATGGGGACACTCATGTTCAGCTGTGTGTGAGCCCACCCACTGCTCCGCCACAGGCCATGGAGAAAGAGGTGTCAGATCCTAAAACGGCATTTGAGCTGAACAGCACAATATGCTCAGATACCCTTGCTTCACGCAAACACAGGGCGACTGTGAATTCTAAGAGCCTGGGTGTTGCAGTTCAGCAAGGGGCTGATTAGCATCTAGAATGCATCCCAAGAAAGGGCTGCAGACCTCTTTGTCTGGTGGAGGAGTGTACACGTGGCTCCGGTCACCTGGGCTTCCTAGCGATTCTCCGGTGAGTATTTTATCCCAGGTTCCCACTGAGGAGCCTTCTGGGGGTCTCTAACACTCTCCCGGCAAAGGGCTTTGGGCTAGCCCATCTTACTTTTTACAGGTTCAAATGAAGCGTTGTGATGTGGGAGGAAGTCGTGAGAAACTAAAACCTTTCTCTGCACCCTAGACTAATGGAGCTTGTAACGCTCTTCCCAAAGCTGGTAATTGCTGAGTAAACTCTGTTTTGAACTATCAGTGCTGGGAGTCTTTTCGTGGCTTCAGCTTTGACGTCATTTAAGTAACTATGTTTAAGAACCAGAAACATACCCTGTGCAGCAACTAGTTGACTCTGGCCTCAAGGGCCAAAAAAGCAGAGGCTCATATTCCTTATTTCCATTGTGTGACTTTAATTTTTTCATGTCTTCCAACCTTCAAAATGAGGCATCATAACTGCCCCTCCCTACTCCACCGGCAGGAAGGGGGCGGGGGGGGGGACTCGCACTTTTCCTGGGTGTTTTTGATCCATGTGGCCGGAGTGCATTCCTTTGAACTGAGCCCCACAGGAACTCAGCCTTTCTGACATGAAGCCAGTCACACAGAGAAACACCCAACAAAACCTGAAACTGGCATTTGGCAGTTGTCACACCCAAGGCCCTAAGATTCAGCACAGTCCAAAAGAGAAGGATATGAGCATTCCTTTGTGTCACGGATTTAAGCCTTAAATTTGAAATTTAATCCAGTTAGGACATGTAAAGTTCTGAAATGAGTGTGCCCTGGGTATATCAGCATGGTTAAATTTTGCCCAACAGAGAAAAATCTGAGGTTTCAAATTTTGGAGCAGCTCTGAAACTCTAGGAAAGAGAAAAATCAATGGAACAAAACATTTTGCATACCTCCATTTATCATCTGTATTGATATGACGGGCTCCAAGATAATAGCTTATGCCCACTAGTGCTCCAACTTTGTATCTAAAATTACAGTATTCTCTCTGTGCTCACATTATTTCAAGAATATATAAAACTACGCCTGTATTTAGAAAGAAGTCTTTGGGTTTTTATCATTTTGCTTGATAAGTGTGTATGGAGACTGTCTATATAAGGACATAAGTAAATGAGAATGTCGCTTGTTTCCCAACAATTACTGGAGGCAGTAATGTATAAGGATTAAGAGAGAAAAGGGCTGTTGCATCTATTAAGAAACCAGTATGAAGAAGTTACTCGTCATTCCCTGAGGAAAGACTAATGTGTTCTGGGGAGGTGGCAATGCGACACTCATAAACACCCACGTGGCTGAACAAAATGCCCACCTGTGTGATGCAGGCACCTCCATTCTGGGAAGGGAGGGATGGTTTCCTTGCAGAGAGTAGACAGGAAGAGACGAGGTCCACATCTTTGTCTCAATTTTGTCTAAAAATGAAAGCACCCATCCATATCATTTACACAAATGAAGAAAAGTCATCTCCAAGGTGTTGTCTAAAGGTGAGAAGTTTGCAGGATGAAGGCACTCAAAATTCATTCTCCATTGACTGAGTTTTTATGCTTATTTCTCACCTGAAGGGTTCAATTTTTCACTGATGAGTACACACAAGGCCCTATCAAAGTTCATTGTGCAATTGTTCGAATCCTTGAAGGACAGCTTTTCCATTAGAAATCTTACACAGAAGCGTCCTTAATTAACAGGCTTCTCTGAAGGGTGGGGTCCAAGCAGGACTCCAGGGACTGGAAGTGTGAATTTTAATGCTTTCTTGCAAGAGGAGACCCAGAATATTCTTACATTTTTTTTAAAGCGGGGTACACTAATTCTTGAAGTGGGGCATTAATGGTCTACATTAAGTTATAGGTATGAATTTTACATAAAACGGATTAATATTATATGTCATGGTGGCATTTTAAATACTTCGTGCCTATGCATTTTTACTATTTACGTGCCCCAATTCAATGCTCCAGGCAACCGAATCTCAAGCCCACTTTTGCATCTAGACAGGTAAAAGAACCCTACGACGTTTTTGTTTTATTTGTATGTCCCGTCACCAAAAATCTGCATTCGGCATTCTTTTCCTGTTTTTTTTCTTTTCTTTACTAAGCTTTAACCTTTTTAAAGAAAACGGAAAGGCTCACACATTCCATTTCATCATGGTTTGGGCAATTGTGAAAAGGAGAATAATGAAAAGGAGGGGAAAAAAGAACAGAAGGAACGTGCCTTCTTGAACAGCGTCCCTCTTAGGGCCCTGGAATTCCAGGGGTGGAGGGATGGGTGGCGGGGGTCCCTGGGCGGGGCGCCGTGGGCGGGGCAGGACATCCTGCGGCCGGGCGCAGCGCTCCCCCGGCCGCGGGCCGGCGACAGCGAATTCCAGGCGCACATTCCCGCGGTTCCGCGCAGGCACTTCCCCGGCCCCCCGGGGCACACAGCAGCCCGGTTCCCTTCCCCGGGCGCCCGAGCGCGGCGACGCCAGCGTGCACTGCCCTTCCCATTGGCGCGAGCGTCACTCCCGAGGTGGCTCCGGCCGCCTGATTGGCTGGCCTCCGCGACCCCCGCCCTGCCCGCCCCTCGGGTTGCCCGGCCCCCAGCTCCGCCCGGAGCCCCCGCCCCGCCACCTCCCTCCGCGCGCCCGCCCGCGCGCCCCGCGCGGCTCCCGGCGGCCGGCTCGGCGACCCGCCCGCGCGCTGGCCCCGCCCCCGGGGCGCGCGGCTCTACAAATGCAGCTGCGCGACTGGCTGGGCCGGGGCTGGCGGAGGTGCGGCCGCGCGTCGGAGCCGGCGGCGGGGACTCTTCGGGCCGCGGAGCTCGGGACGGAGCCCTAGAGAGCCCGGCGGGTGCTTCCGCTCCGGTGCTTCTCATTTTTCTTGCCTTTCGGTCCAGGCCGAGGTCGAGCGTCGCCCGCTGAGCCGGAACTCTTCGCAAAGCCCGGGGCGACCCTCCCGCCGATCGTGGGCACGCCATTGCCGCGAGCTTCGAGGTGCCCCGAGCGCGGACCGAGCGCGCCGGGCGCGGAGGCCAGGGAAGCGGAGCCGGCCGCGGGCGGGGGCCCGGAGCTGCCCGCCTCCCTCGCTCGCCGCAACAGGGTCGCCTCGTCCAGTGGGTCCGCTCGCGCCGGGCGCCGCGCGCGATGAAGGCGGTGAGCCCGGTGCGCCCCTCGGGCCGCAAAGCGCCGTCGGGCTGCGGCGGCGGGGAGCCGGCTCTGCGCTGCCTGGCCGAGCACGGGCACAGCCTGGGTGGCTCGGCAGCGGCGGCAGCGGCGGCGGCAGCGCGCTGCAAGGCGGCGGCGGCGGCGGCGGCGGCGGACGAGCCGGCGCTGTGCCTGCAGTGCGATATGAACGACTGCTACAGCCGCCTGCGGAGGCTGGTGCCCACCATCCCGCCCAACAAGAAAGTCAGCAAAGTGGAGATCCTGCAGCATGTCATCGACTACATCCTGGACCTGCAGCTGGCGCTGGAGACGCACCCGGCTCTGCTGAGACCGCCGCCGCCGCCCGCGCCCGCGCACCACCTGGCCGGGACCTGTCCGGCCGCGCCGCCGCGGATCCCGCTCACGGCGCTCAACACCGACCCGGTGAGAGGCCTGGCGCCGGCCTGGGACGGGCGCCCCGGGTTCCGGAGGGCGGTGGCGGGCTGGCGGGACGGGGCGCTGCCCTCCTCCGGGCCGGGGCGGTGCGCACCCGGGCCGAGGCGGGCGTCGGCGAGCGCGCCCAGGACCGGAGAGCGAGGCTTGCGTCCGCTCACCCCCGCGGTGCTCCGATGCTGTTCCAGGCCGGCGCGGTGAACAAGCAGGGCGACAGCATTTTGTGCCGCTGAGCCGCGCTGCCCAGGTGAGCGCGCGTCCCACCCCGGCGGCGGGTCCCCGAGCCGCTCCGGGCCAGGCCCGCCGTGCTCTCGCCGCGGCGGCGGAGGCCCCTCCAGCGAGGCGGACGCCCGTCTCCCACGCAGCCTGCCCGGGAACCGGGGCTGCGCCCGAGTGACCGGGGCTTGTGCCACAGGGACGCGGATCCGCTCGGGTCCCCGCCCCGGGGCCTCGCCGATGGCCGGCGGGCTCCGACTGCCGCCCTCCCGGGGCTGTGACCGCGCGCAGGCTGACACCCGCAGAGGGACCGCGGCGGAGCCCCGGGGTGCATCCCCGCCCCTCGCTCCCCGGCGGCTGCAGCTGCCTCTCGGCGCCGGGCCGGCCGCGGCTGCGGGTGCAGCCAAGCCGGGTGGTTTGTTTGGGGATGTTGATCAAGCCTGTGTTGAGTTGGGTCGGTGGCGCCAGTCCGTCTGCAGCGGGAAGCTTCACACACCCCCTCTATTCATTCCTCTTCCACAGGTGTGCGGCCGCCGGAGCCCGAGCCAGGGGCCCTAGACGGGGAGGGGAAAGCGCCCAAGTCAGAGAAAAGCCACCGCGGGAGAAGGAAAACACATCAGCAAATCCCCGAACCGTTTCGGTCGTCATTCCAAGAGAGGGAAGAGGAAAGAAAAATAAAACGTTCATCCTTTTTTCTTTTGCACGTTCATACACATTCTACATGTCTTTGTCTCTTCATTTGTAACCGCTGTGAATTGTATGTACATTTCTGTGTGTGTTGGAGGTGCAGTTAAACTTTTAAGCCTAAGTGTGACAGGACTGATAAATAAACGATAAAGAGTAATTCTGACTTTAGAAGCCTACTTTGTGACCGAGAAGCTCAATTTTTGTTCTGAAGCTTTACTAATACACCAGAGCATTGTAGATAATATTTTTTTTACATCTATTGTTTAAAATAGATGATTATAATGGGGCAGGGAACTTTCTTTTCCCTGCAAGAATGTTACATACTGTATAGATAGATAACTGAGTGACATTTCATACCATGTATATATAGAGATGTTCTATAAGTGTGAGAAAGTATATGCTTTAATAGACTACTGTAATTATAAGATATTTTTAATTAAATATTTTTTTTAAATATTATGTGTGTGTTTTTTTAATCTATGGGAATATTTCCTTTGGAAAATAATTTTTCAGTTCAATCGCAGAGCTCTTGATATGATGAATGTCTGTTCTGTTTGGCCTGGCTTTTAATTTGTGTTCGCAGTGTCGTGTAGACTCGGAAGTAACAGTTCTAGGTAGTGATCCTGCATGACTGCATGAGATGTTTAATCACAAAATAAACTTGTTCTGAGTCCATTCATACGTGTTTTCTTTAACCTAGATAGAAATCTTTATCTTTGAAGCGTCCATGTTGGAAATACAACTTATCAGTTTCTAAGTACAGGGTTCCATAGTGTACTACATAAAGAATAAGTGTTTGCTTTTTGTTTTTTAAATGAAGTCAATTGAATGCTGAATGATATTTGCATCTGGGATGGGGAAATGCTTGGCTCCTTGTGGAGTTTATGAAAGCTACTGTTTTAAGAAAGTGAAAAAATGCTTATCATTCTTCATTTTACACTAACACTTAACATCACCAAGTTTCATGCCTGTACAGATTATTTAAATCACAGAAATGAGAAATGTTCTCTGCTTGCTACCAAAGGACAAACTCTTGGAAATGAACACTTATCTGCTTTCCTTCCTCCAAAGAATATTAAGGCAACAGTGGGAGAAAATAACAAAAAGGCGTAATGACAAGTCCTTCAAGCATGGATAAAAGTCGATCTTCAAACATTCACTTAAGTAGACCAAAAATTCTGATGACCGCATCTAGATTATTTTTTTATAAAAATGATTTTCACTATAGCTATGTTAGTTACTGCTAAACTACTGTCCAATCTCTCGTGATGTGTAACTTTTACATGTGAATATTAAAGTAGATTTATCTGTCTTGGTACTGTGATTTCTGGTCTCATTTCTTACACTTAATTTTCCAAGACTGTTTTCTCTTTAAGGAAGGTAACATTTTGTAGGTTAGATAGAACTATCAGTGCTTGTGAACATGCATTTAATGTGATCAGTACTTTACACACCAGTTAGATGGAATTTTTGGAGTGAGAGAGAATTAAGTAGGATTTAATTGTGTGCTTTGTAAATAGTTAGTCAACTGTGTGTGTAATGTGGACTGTTTGATTTTTAAAAGGAAAGGATTTGTTTCTGATTATACAAGAATAAAAGTATTATAGACCCAAGGGACTTTTTATGAGGCCAAAGTCAAATATTTATATGGATATGAAATAGCATGGCCCCTAGTAACTGGCTGCAATGGCAGTGACCCAACAGAAATGAACCAAGTTAATGCAGTAAGTTAAGTAAATTGAAAGGTTGAAAAATCTGTCCTATCCCCAGCATGTTATCCCTGCAGCTTTGGCATTTCCCTTGTCTTAGGTATTTTTAGAATTTGATGTATTTTATGTTGAGCCTTATGAAGTCAAAGGACTGCTTGTTGAGATGAGGTTTATTTTTATTTTTGATATTACTCATTCTGGTCACACATCGAGAGGAAACACAAGAACACTGCTGGAATTCCAAATCTGAAGAATCCTAACGATTGCATTCTTTGTTTAAAAAGGGGGACAATTCCTCCTTTTTATTTGGCAGTTTAATTTCAGTAGGAAGCAAGTCACATGGGTGCTGCTGGTTGGAGTTAGGCGTTTTTCAGGCCTGACTGCTGCACCCCTACCTACAGCCTTTAGGCGCAGTTTAAATTTATGCTGGGAGATTATAAACCTCAGAATAAATGGATAAATATTTTGGTTCCTGAAGATAGATGTTGCTCTTTAGTTCGTTTTGTGTTTTGGGCATGAAAAAACACTTTAAGGGAAGAAAAGTGTTATTGTAGATCCTACATATTAGTGACTTGGCATTTTCCCCTTGGCCACTCACACTGTCCTGGTTGGAAACACAGTCATTGTTTATTTTTTAAATATATATGCAGTTGTATTAGACATTACATTCTTTTAAAGTGTCCTAACCAAGCAACCAGAAAATAAAACATTTTGAGTCATTTATCTAGATAGTTATAATTATGCAGATATTCGGTTTAGCAAAGAATAATATCCTACTTTCTCTCATTTGTCTACTCTTCATTGTAGAGAGACAATGAAAGAGTAAGAGTCATTTAAAACCTTCAAAGGACTAAAAAAGGAACCCACAGAGGGATGATGTTTCTAATGTGGTTATAAAATGCTGAACATCTTTGACACCTCATGTTAAAGGAAGAAAAAAAAGCTTTCTCATTTCAAGGAACTAATATACTTTGGTATTATATAAATCTTACTGAAATTTACTGTCAAGCTTTAACTGCATTTTTAGAACCTTAAAATTTTGACCCTCCAAATCTATTGTATTAAATGCCTCAGTAATAATAAATCTTCACTGAGCAAAGGGTTCTGAAGTTTGTGGTTTTTAATTGACTTCTACTGAGTTATGCAATTTTTCATTATCAAGAGCAGGTTTCTTGATGGATCACCTCAATTATTTACAGTGTTTCTTACCGCGTGATGGAAAATGTGGCTTAAAAATGGTGATATGAACGGAAAGAAAAATCTAGTTTGAATGCTAGGGGAAGCTCATCTACTCTTTGGTGCCTGCTAGAATAGGAAGCAATAATCCTGGGGACAGCAGCAGAATGATGTCCCAGGAAACTAGACCCCCCACTCCCACACGCATACACAGAAGGTAAATAATGTAGACAGAAAGAAATTATTTCACAGTAGCACAGAGCCACAGAAAACTGGCTCTGCTTTCTAACTGGTGCACTTTAATTATACATATGTTAATCAGCTCAGATAGCCCTTGGGTCTCAACAGGGCCAAACACCAACCCCTCCAGGTTTATAAGGAAGGAAAACCTTCCCTTTTGCTGCACTGCAAGTCCAGGAAATTAATTTGCACACCTCAGAATTAATCTTAAAAGGGCTACACTCAGTAGGTATTCCTCAGACCCTGATTTCTTTCCATTACAACCCATGACATTTCGCTGAAATATGAATTGTATTAATTAGAACCATTGCCCAAAATGGTTCTTTGGGATTGTCATTTTACTTAGAGCTCTACCTTGGTTGTTGATACAATAGATAAACCTTCAAAGATAGACAGAATAGATAAACCTTAAAAGATAGAGCTCTTAGAAACGGGAACTAATTTGTTCACAGGAGACAAACTGCAGGTATATTTCTACTTCATTGAAAATGCTTTCAAATTTAAAGTGAATTTTTAAAAATGTGTTTTGCGTTCAAGTGCCTGTTTCATATCCATTCATATCCTGGCTTGTTCTAAAAAGTTTCCCTTCAGAGCTAGAACTCAGGTGTGGGCCGCATTGCCCAAGGTTTTCCTCTACTCCCCCAAGCAAAGCAGCACGGTGTCATCGCTCCAAGTCTCAACAGTGAATTCACACGTGGGACAGGACAGAGGGCCGCACAAAGTGGAGGTAATTCGAAAAGCCCCTCTGCGTCCATAGAGTAGGCACACCAGTTTCTGGCGAGAGAACAAAATGTGTTACCTGTGTTCCACTGATGAAAATGCGGCTGAAAAAGTACTGAACTTAAAATGTTTAAAGTAAAGAGACCCAAGGAAAATTTTCTATGCAAAGCCACTTGTATCTGAATTTTGTTCTGTTTTGTTTAAGCACAAGGCAGGTTGGAAAATAAAGAGCAAGTAAATCAATTGTCACGTTTATCATATCCTAGAATTTGGTCTGTGAGATATCTCAGACTTTAGAAAGGAATTTTCTAAGAGATTACATACGTGTTGGCAAAATTTGCAAATTCTTGGTGAAACAAGACACTGTTATTTCTTTAAATTACTGGTCCTCAGTTCTTTATAATATAAAGTACATGGTAGTACTGTTAGCATGCATTTTTTAAATTTTTTATCTTTTATTCCAGTTTAATTTCCAAAGCAATTGTTGCAACCCTACAGTTCTTCATGCAAATCCACATATTTTAGAATGTTTAAGTATTTTAAATATTTTCTTAAGAATTTTAAGCACCTTCTTAAATAATTACTACTACCTTCATAAGCGTTAGCTGTCAATTGAGAGACTGTAGCCATGTGTGTCTGTGTCATTTTATGTGTTTTTACCTAAAAATAGTTAACATACAGGAAAATATCTCCAAAAATGAAATTTCACTCCCCAAACTAAGTAAACCACATTAACCTTCCTTCATTTTCTCTCCCCTTTAATTCCTAAGATTGACTATTTCCACAAAGATACACTCCTCCTTTTCTTAGACTGCTGTTAAGTCTACCACGTGATGTTTAAGCATCAAGCGGGAGAGAAAATAAAGACCATGTAAACCGATCGTCATGTTTATCATATCCTAGAATTCGGCTTAACCTCATCAATAAGCTGAAGAAAAATAATAAAGGAAAAAAGAGAGCCATGTTTATATATCAAACCCAGAGAAAGCCAGGGAAACAGACCTCAACTTGTAGACATAAATTTTATACTTATTTCAGAATCATTCTTGGAAACGCTTTCCACACTTGCAGAGCCCGACCGAGTCCATGACTGTATTAAAACAGGCTCCTGAAGGCAGAAGGCTGTGCACCATTCCTCCGTGCATGTCTTGCTGCGCCTAAGCAAGGCCTTGTGAACTATTTGCTGACCTGCCCTAAGAATGTCTCCTTAATTGAGTCCCTTCTCAGTGTTCCCAGTGACTCCTTCGGCCCTTCATCTACGCTGAATCACAATTCAGTTTCAGATCAATAAATCTAACTGCCTTCCTGTCCTCTCTGCCTGAAGCGCAGCAGATTTGAAGCAGGATTGTATGGTCTCCCCCGGACCTGCCACTCTTTCTGGGTCCCTGACTGTCTTAGTCAGTTTGGGCTGCTCTGACAAAGCGCCATATGCCAGGGGTGTGAATGGCTTGGACAAGAGCCGTTTATTTCTCATAGTTCAGGAGGCCGCGAAGTGCAAGATCAAGACACCGGCCGGTCAGGTCCCTAGAAGCCACCGCCATTGCCAGCCGAGCGTAGCGATCCACGTGCATCCTTCAGATCCCACCGTCACCCCTGGCACTTGGTGGCCTCCTCAGAGCCGCCTCACAGGAGGCAAGAGGAACCAGGGCTGAGCAAGGTCCCCGTCCCGCCCCAGACCTGGAGGCGAGGGTCCATCGAGTCCTTCCTCTCCTCCGCTCCTGGCTGCCTTCGAGCACGCAGTCTGAGACCCGGCCACGCCTAAGGTCTGGTCCTATACGTACTGGGCAGCAAAGCATGCTGACGGAGTCTGACGGGTTTCCTGAGAATGAGAAGAGGCTCGGGAAGGACACACGGAGTCCGGAATGTGGGGAGGGGCGGGGGCACCTGCCCAGCCAGCCAAACCTGAAAGGCAACCTGTTCAGCTGCGGGTGAGGGCTGACCGATCCACGTGCGGGGTAGCATGCTCTTCCATGCTTCCCTTCTCTGCACATGGTGCTACCCCTGCGCGGATCCCCTGGCCCCCGCTCCCGTCTAGGTGGTTGTTCAACCCCTCACCATCTTTCAGGACTAAACTGTCACCAGGTCTGAAGAACTATAGGATGCCTCTCCTCCTTACCCCCAAATAGCCACCACCCACCATGTTATAGTATAATTATTTTCACCTACCTGTGCCCCCTGCAGACTCCTAACCCTCCAGGGATTCCAGACCACAAAGTACTAGGACATTTCTGTTACTTTCTTTGCCAGCAAGTCTAGCAAATTCTTTGCAACTCAGCAGAGCCGTCCAGAGATTTCATTATCTTTAAGAGCATCTGGCTGTGTTAAACTTGGAAAATAGATAAGCCGTGTGTTCTTGAGACTGAGGAAGTGTGGTCATCCCTGTGCAGAGATGGAAGGAGAGAAGAGAGGCAGATTCTACAGGATGTGATGGGTCTGAGGGCAGCAGGGGGCGCTCGGGAAGATGGTACCACCA